TAAGCAATGCAATATTCAATCCTCAATCATTCAATCCAATGCTATTTCCAAGGCTGATTCTCATGGCTGGTCTGACAGCCTCTTATCAACAGGGTCTCACCCTCACGGCCGGTCTAGCGGTCATTCTCTCAATAGCCATTTCTCAAGACTGACCCTTCCGCCCAGTCAATCCTCAATTTTCTCATTCCTCAACACCCAATTTCTGTGATCGTCCCAACGGTCCCTACCCCTCTCGGCTTTAAGGCTCCGCCTTCTTTATCTTGTCCTTCTCTTTCGCATTTTCCTTCCGCCCCCTCGGCGATTTTCAGTGGCCGACCCACCGGCCTTTTCCATTTCCTTCATTCAACTCATTGGCTATTTCAACGACCGACCCACCGGCCTTTTTCACCTCTCTCATCCATCCTTTGGCTATTTTCAATGACCAACCCACCGGCCTTTTCCATTTCTTTCATTCATCCGATTGGCTATTTCAATGACCGACCCACCGACCTTTTCCATCTCTCTCATTCCAGCTCATTCTCAATCAATCTTTCTCAATCAATCTTTCTCAATCAACCTTTCTCAATCCAATAGGCAGGGGACCCCAGTGCCTATTTCAAAAGGAATGACCCTTGTCAGGGGCCATTCCCGAACAACCTGGTTAGGGTCGTTCTTATCCATTCTCAAGTTGAACAGCCTGGTTAGGGCCATTCCTTTCCATTTTCAAGTCAAATAGCCTGGTTAGGGTCATTCCTTTCCATTCTCAAGGTTAGTGTCCGAGGGGGTGGGCCTCGAGGTTACGGATCTCATTTCTGTCTTGGAGGTTAGAAGGCGGCCATCTCATTTTTTGCGTGCTGTTCTCTTTCTTCCATTTCTCATAGTAATGTACCATCCATTCCATTTCTCACAGCAATGGATCATCCATTCCATTTCTCACTAGCCCACCCGACCGTTCATCCATGCGTACCATCCAAGCGTATATCCGACTTAGCGTCTAGCACTCGAGTCGGGGCTTGCGACCCCAAGCAGCACTAGCCCACCCGACCGTTCATCCATGACAAAAGACAAAAGCACCCCTTCCATTTTCACTCTTCCTGATCTTTCAGGTCTCGGGTATTCTCAGTCTCATTCACGACTCAGTTGGATTAGGCTCCTAGGGAAGGAGTGTTCTTCACGCCCCTTAACCCATAGGTTCCCTAACCTCTCTTTTACTCGACCAATCATTCAATGTCATGGTTTGCTCGTCAATCCGCACTCAAGGTTTTCCCCTCTCAAAAGCGTAATCCTTGTTCCATCCAAATTTCACAATACACCCTCTCCCAATTGGTCTCATCCCAATTCCCATGTCTTTGTCTTAGGTACCCAAGGTGGCTCATCCAAAAAGTAGCCTAAAAAACTATCTTCTATCTTATCGTGACACAGCCTTAGCTGACCCTCTTTTCACTTCATCCTTAGCAAGCCTGCCCATACTATACACGTTCTCGTCATTTTCATATCTCTGCAGCCAGAAAGCAGCGATCCTTTTCAGGGCTAAGTCAACACCTAGTTCATATTACTGCCTTGCGCCTTGTCTCGCCCAGTTCCTTGTCCATCCCGTTCCTTGGCAGGCTTCCTAACCCCCAGGCCGTATATCTCGATCTCCCTTTTCATCCTTACAATTTTATGCAACTCTGCCTCGTTGAAAAAATCCAGTGGTGTGGCTTCCACCCCTGCCCTTGCGAGTTTTCGAGTCTTGATAATCCATTTGTGCCTGATTACATTGGTCCATTGCTGAAACCAATGACTGGGCATGGGCCCGAACTCGTCTGGTTGGTGCATCGGAGGCCGCCCCTCTTCCCTAGGCCTTGAGATCTCATCCCCGCCATCCCCGCTGCTGATTTCTATGACTTCTCGCACATCCTCCCCCTTGTCCCCCTCGTCTTCAGTCTGTATGAGGCTATACTCACCAGCAAGGTTCTTTGGATCGTAGGTGAAAGGGATCTCTGTCCCCGTCCCATACCCCTTGCAACTGCCGTGACCGCTTCGTCCTTCAAGCGGGCTCTCCCTTTTCTCCTCGTCCTCCTCACGTTCGTCGTGCATACCTTGTCCCCCCTCGCTTTCCCCATGCCAAGCCTCACGTGGTTCGCCCCTGTTGGCCCCTTCCTCGTTAGAGACCCGAGCCTTATCACCCATTTCTGTGTTGCCTCTTTCTTTCACATTTGCCCTTCCCTTTTCGCCCTCACTGTCGGATGATATTTCTATACCTTCTCCCTTGCGAAGTGGTGAGGGTTTCCTACACAAACATTTCCTTCCACCCCTGCCAACCACTGACCCGCCCATGGGCCCAATGTACAATTTTCTCTTCGCTGTCCTCCTCCCTTGGCTTGGTCCAGCTTCTTCCGCTCCGGTAGGGCTGTTGATTGCCCCGCTGTCGTTCTCGTTGCCGAATTCCATTGTTGTCTTTTCTCGTTTTACTCCTAAGCCCTGTATAACAAAACAACACCCGCAATGTTCCTCATACACTTACGCTTCCCCCCCCCCTTAGGCCGGTAGACATTCCCAAAATGCACGCAGTATCCCTCGCATCACGCCCTTTTTATACATGCGAATGCGTCGTTTGTGATGACCCCATATTCTTCCCGTCAAAAATTATGGTACAATGCCCCAAACACCCCTTCCCGTTGTCACACAAGCCGGATATTGCAAACCCCCAAGTCATGCTACCTTTCAACCTTAGTCAGTCCAAGCCAAAGCACCAGTCCCAAAAAAAATGACAGTCCCACGAACATGGTCAGAGACAAACCATAGTGTGGGCAAGGCTGTGGTTAGTCTTTAGCTTGTGGCTCCTCTGTTTCCTTATCTTCGGCCTCCTGAAGCCATTGTTCTACTGGGTCCCGACTTAGAAACCAGACCAGTCGTTGCCCCGGGAAGGGCCCTTTCAATCCAGTTCCATCCAAATCTTTCAGTTCGAAGGTGTTCAGTCCCACCCGCTTGGCGACCCGGTAGGGAAATTTGAACCTCCTGCCAACCGTCCCGACCAAGTACTTTCTAGTGCCGAGCTCCTTAGCAATACCATCTCCCCCACCTGAAGTGGCTCCTTTCTGACATTCTTAACCTGGTCCCACCTTGCTTTGTCCCTCATTCTGCTGTCCAGCACCCGACTGGCGATGTCTTCCACGACCTCCTCATTCTTAAGGATCTGTTGACATCTTGCCTCGATTAACTCTTCAGTGGTCATTTGCGGATCATCATCTAACCTATTCCAGATAGGTACTAAGGCTTCCACCGGAAAGTCGATCTTTCTTCTGTACCAAAGCTCTGTCGGGATACATCCTGTTGTCTTTTAGGAGTCATATTCTCTGCAAAGACAGCCTACTTAAGATACCTAGGCCAGTTCCCCAGATGGTCTGCTGCGAGCTTTGAAATCGTATTCTTCAAGGTTCGGTGCCCCCTTTCCACTGGTGCATTGGCCTCAGGGTGATACGGCTCGATGAGTTTGATCAGTACGCAGAGTCTCTTAAGCATCCCCAATACTTCTTGGTTCACAAATTTCGTCTCATTGTCTGCTATAAACCTCCTGACGAACGGGTGCCTTAAGTAGAAGTCTTCTATCCAGTCCGCCACACTCCTCCCTGTCTTTTTCTTGAGGGCGATTGCCTCCACGAACCCACTCAAGTTGTCTCGCACATCCAGGATATACCTGTACCCATCCGTTGATACAGACATGACCGCAAGGTCGAGGTGGACCAGATGTCCTGGCCCTAGCACCCGCGTTGGTCTAAGCGGCTCGAAGACTCGTACCGAGCTTTGTTCTTGGCAAATAAGGCAAGTCTGGCAGTATATGGCGACCATGCCTGCCATGCCTGACCAATAATAGAGCGGCGTTATCTTTGCAAGTGTTCCTTTGGAAGACCGATGACCTCCAGCTAACCCGTCGTGCATTGTCTGGATAACGTCTACTTGCCTAGACCTTCCGCACACAACCCTTCTGGGCATAGCACCTTCCTCCCTCCGGAACAAATGCCCGCCCCTTAGGACGTACCTTTCAGCTTCCTCTCTTGCCTTAATACTGACGTCCGTAGGTTGTTTGTTTCCTACCAACAACAAACCGATCTCCCGAAAGAGCCCTTCGTATGATTGGACATAGAAAAACTCCTCTCCTTCCTTGCCCCCATCCTTTCCTTCCTGCATCTGATTTACCACCCATTGCAACTCTTTCCTTTCCTAAGATTCCACTAAGCTCATCACTGCTTTTCGGCCCCCTTCGACTGCCATTGCTATCAGCTCCTCCTTCGGTCCTACTATCGCTCCCCATGAGTCATTTTCTTCTCTGCGTCCTCGAGTGGTAACTGGACCTTCCCTAAGTTCAGCTACTACGGCAGGTGCCCCCTTCTGCAAAGTCTGGATTAATAGTTCTTCCGATGTGCATCCCTCGCTCATCATTTCGTTATCCACCGCAAGAGTTCCTCCTTCGTATTCGAGGAAGGCGTCTATGGGCTCTGCATCCTCCATCTCTTTGGGAGTGATGCAAACCCGACTCAGCCCATCTGCCTTGTTGCGGATTCCAACAATCCGTTCGATCTTGTAATCGAACTGCCAGATGAATCCTACCCATCTCCCTACCGTCGGATCTATAGGCGTGTAATTCTTTAGGGCCCCTGCGACATTCGTTGGATCGATCCTCAAGATGAACCGCCTCCCAAATAGGTAGGCCTGGAAGGTCTTAAGGCAATGCAGGATGGCTAGGACTTCCTTCTTGAACTGCTAGTACCGCTGTTCTGCGGAGTTCAGGGTTCTACTTTCGAACCTAATCGGCCTCTCTTTTCCTCCCTCATCCCTTTGGATCAACACACCTCCTACGGCCAGAGGTCCTCCATCCGTCTCTAGGATGAAAGGTCGTCCCACTTCGTCATTAAAACAAGGCGCAGACAGGGCGACTGTCTCAGATGTCAATATGTCCTTGGCTCTTTGGACAACTCCTTCTCGCTCCTCCGTCCAATCCATGGTTCTGTCTTCCCTGATCATAGCCCGGATAGGCTCAGCGATCTTGGCAAAATTCTTAATAAAGATCCTCCAAAAGCCAACCACGCCTAGGAATGCTCTTACTTCCGTCGTCGTGCGCACTGGCGTCGGTCACTGTGATATCTTGTCGGTCTTTGCCGGATCGGGCTTCCTGCCGTAAGCACCGCAACGAAATCCTAGTATAGTCACCTCTTTTACTGCTAGAATACTCTTTGGTCCACTAACCGTAATGTTGTACACTAGGAACCGGCGGAGTAAGTCCTTGATGTCCTGCAGGTGGTCCCACACAAAACGTCGGATCCCTGGCTGGACTTCCGTCTCGTCCTTTTCCTGCGCGCCTTTGATCGGATTGTCATCGATGTAAGGTTCACATTTTTCTGGGAACATGTCCCCGGCCATGGCGAGCATCCTGCGTTGCGCTTCAGCCACCACGTTTGTGAATCCCATAGGTGTCACCTGCATCTGTAGCTGGCCTACGGGGGTGTGCATAGCGGTGTATGGCCTGTCCCGAACATCCAATGGAAGCTGGTCGTATCCTGAGTACAAATCTATCAGGGAGTAAATGCTTCGTCCGGCGTGCGATTCTCCTAATAAGTCAGTCTGAGGTAGCGAGTCAGCATCCTGGATGGTTACCGCTTTTAACTTCTGCAGATCCTGAATCCACCTTAGTGTCTTGTTAGGCTTCCGAAAGACGAACCACCGATTTGCGTATGGCGATGTCGTAGGCTCCACAACGAAGGAGTCCATCTTCGCTCGGAGGAGGTCTGTTACTTCTCCCGCTATCCCAAATTCATAGGATGGCCCCTTGTCATTCCAACACTCATGTTCTACCATGTGGATTCTGACCGGAGGGATCAACTTCGCATCCAGCCGTCCCTTCTGGTGATCACTAAAGGCAAACGCCAGATGAAATTCCTGGCAGGTCCTTTTGATCAGGCGGTTTTCTTCTTCCGTTAAAAACCCGTCTACCCCTATCTTCATTGTATCCGCTACCTCATCTGGTATCCGATGTCCTTCCGTCGCCCTTCTTTCTCGGATCGCTCGAAGGACCTCTTCCTCCTTCTCCATAGCCTCTTCCTTTGATGTCTCTAGCAGGATCGAGACCGATTTTGGTTTCTTCCCTACCGGCTTGTACTTTCAAACACTTCCTTCCGGGATCTTTCTCCTAAAAAATGAACAGCCGAAATTGCCCCCGTCGCCTCTGTGACTCGTGGTTGAATACTAACTAATTTCTCATTTAGGCAATATCCCTTTTGCATCTCTCTTTCGAACTTGGCCAAGGTTGCCGAATCCACCCCAACCTTGTGGTATCTGAGGGCAGCGTTGTCACGCGGGGATCCCTGGGGCCCAAGCCGGGGTAGGGTTTTCAACCCCGGAACCCCGCCGCGGGGCTACCCGACCCCCGCCCCCGCAAAAACAACCCCGGCCCTGCCCCAACCCCGCC